AGATTCCTAGAACTTACTTGATTAAGGTCCTAAGTCTGGATTTCTTTGTTTCGCGCATGGGTTGATCATTTGACCTTGAGATCACAAATGCCCACCAGGAAAATCCCTAGCTGTTATTGGTTGATGTATTATTTTAGTACGCTATTTTTGTGACTCACCCAAGGACGTTTCTATCATGTATAAATAAACTCAAATTGTGTGCTTGTCGACCTCATACGTTCTCGGTGCTTGTAGAATACAATTTCTACGTCTTGTCAAGACTTCTTCCTCTACTTAGTGGGGCTTTGGGACGCTCGGATTAGAGTAGCCTATCGTGTCACTGGATCATTTTGTCTTCACTCTCGTTTACCGAACAAGGTGACCTTGTAAATAGTTGCAAGCATATCAGTTGACGAGCATAAAAGTTACCGTATGTGTGAAACCTGAAGATCCTGGATTCCAGAGCAATGTTTATTCGTGTGATTTAGCTGGCCGAATGAACAATGTATGTCAATTCGAAGTTTCATTTTTACCTTCAGCAGCTTCGTGATATACGATTTACAGACAGAAAATTTGGTAACTGTCAGCTGTTAGACGAGAAAGGTGGAATACTTACTAGAGTACATAAACATCAATTCAACTTCGTTGACACTCGATCAATCAATCAATCACATTGTGTGATATTTATATGGTGTAAACTTCATGTTAGCAATAAATAAGTTTGTATATGTCAACAATAAAGTGTAGGTAGCAGCCTCAGTTAAATATTCCTTCTAGACTAACAGATCATCGAATAGGTAACAATATTATGCTGTTGATATGTTCGCCAATTAGATATGCTTGAAATTATTACGAGTTCATCTGAACTTAAACGGAGCGTAGATGAATGATGCAGTGACACGATAGGGTATTCTAATCCTATTGTGCCAGGCTCCCCTAACAAAAGCATGAAGTCTTGATAAGGCGAAGAGAATGTATTGTACGAGCACCCAGAAGATACAAGGTTACTAAACACACAAATCAAGCTTATTTATACAATGATAGCAACGTTCTTGGGAGAGCCACAAAAATAGCGTACTCAAATAATCCATCGACCTATGACAGTCAAAAATTTCCGAGTGGGAGATGTAAGCAGTAGGTCGAATTAAGCATCTCTTGGCGCAAAAATATAAAAATTCAAATTTTCAGAAATAAATTACAAAATTAGGAGTTTTATCAAGTGATTTCTGAGGATCTAACATACCCAACAGTTGTTTAGTTTTTAAGGCTAATAAAGTAGCATCAGTTCGTAGATGCCAGCTAGTTTAAGTGACTTGATATTTGTAGCGTACTTTACTTAAATATATGTAAACTGAACGAAATTAGTAGAAAGCATTAAACGAGTATTTTTTGCTAGTTGATGCTCGTCAAACAGAAGATCTCGGATTCAATTCACTTGTAGACTAAGTGGTTCAGTGTAAATATCTCTGACTAAGGATCAATCGTGTACTGACCAAATTGCTACATTACGGATCATTATGGAACAATCAATTGAATGGAACTCACCACTCTACATCAACTTCATCGACTACGAGAAAGCATTCGATAGTGTGGATAGGAAAACACTGTGGAGGCTTCTCTGACTCTACGGTGTGCCTGAGAAACTACTCAACATCATACAGAATTCTTATGATGGATTCAACTGCAAAATCGTACACGAATCACAGCTAACAGATTCTTTCGAGGTGAATACCAGTGTCAGGCAGGTTGCTTACTCTCATCCTTTCTCTTTCTCCTGGTCATCGACTAGATTATGAAGACGTCAACATCTGGAGGGAAGCAGGGTATCAACTGGACAGTTAGGACACATAGGACGATCTGGACCTCGCAGATGACCTGGCTCTTCTATCGCACATACAACAACAGATGCAAGAAAAGACGACCAGTGTGACAGCAGCCTCTGTAGCAGCAGGCCTAAGCATACAGAAAGGAAAAAGCAAAATTCTCCGATGCAAAACAACATGCACCAACCAAATCACTCACTCTTGATGGAGATGCCTTGGAGGACGTTAACACCTTTACATATATGGGCAGCATCATCGACAACCAAGGTGGATCCAATGCAGATGTGAGGGCGCGGATCGGCAAAGCAAGGGCAATATTTCTACAGTTGAAAAACATCTGGAACTCAAAACAATTGTCAACCAACACCAAAATCAGGATTTTCAATACAAATGTCAAGACAGTTCTACTGTATGGAGCAGAAACTTGGAGAACTACCAAAACCATCATCCAGAAGATACAAGTATTCATTAACAGTTGTCTACTCAAAATACTTCGGATCCGTTGGCCATACACTATCAGCAACAACGTACTGTGGGAGAACACAAACCAGATCCAAGTGGAGGAAGAAATCACGCAGAAGCGCTGGAAGTGGATAGGACACACACTACGAAAAGCACGGAACTGCGTGACGAGACAAGCTCTCACATGGAACCCTCAATGTCAAATGAAAAGCGGAATTCCAAGGAACACATTACGCCGAGAAATAGAGAAATATATGAGAGGAATGAAAAAAACATTGGACAGAACTGGAGAGGGAAGCCCAGAACAGACAGAGTTGGTTGGTGAAAACTAGTTGGCGACCTATGCTCCATTGTGGGTAACAGGCGTAAGTAAGTAGCAAATAAGACACTGCTGATGACAAGATGTCAAATGACACTTGAAACATTCACTTCTTATAAAATCATCATAGATTTGTTTAGCTATGATAGGTATTTATATTCATAAGTTAAGTGTAATTTTTTAGTTCAAACTCTATAACAAACCCTTACATATCATAAATAATACTTAAAATTTACCTGAAATGTTGAATTATCCCAATAAGTATAAACATAAATATTCGGTACACATTCGATAAAACAAACAAATGATATACTAATAAATGTTGTAGTCAATATATACCATAGAATTTGCCAACTTAATTGTTTCAATTGTTCACTATGCGGTTTATGTGTAACATTCTTCCATTTCCAATCATGTTTTTTTTTACACATACACAACCGTTTCAATGTCCAATGAAATTTATTTCGATGAATTTGTTGTATACTACTACTATCTTGTATTGTTGAATTAGTGAAATTCAACACTGGAACTTCTAATTTAATTGAAGAGATACTAAGTTTATTTGTATTTGTATTTGGTTGTGTTGGTGTATCGTTATTGTTGAAATCATTTGGACGATTAATTGACTGCTGTTGCGGCTGCTGTTGTGGTTGTGGCGGTGGTGTTTTTCCTGTGCTTGTTGTGTTCACTGTAATTTGATTATTTGGTAAACTATATCTGGATAAAACAGAGTCCAACTTTTCACTAGATTGATTCTCTTTATGACGATAATGTAATTTCGGTGTTTTTAATCGAATTGGAGGTAGTTTAAAACAGGAACAATCGTGCTAAATGAAAAATAATCATGCGTAAAAAAGATAGATTGAAGAATTAAAACAAAGGTTTAGGTGTGCAATAAATTTTTTTCAGTAAAAAAAATTATGATATACAATTATATTTTAAAAAAGGACTCATATTTTGACCAATATACATGGCAGGTTCAAGTAAGTCAGTCAGTCAGTTAGTCAGATGAAACGTCGACCTTCGTACGTAAGTACATCAGTCAGTTCATGTTGCCATACCACATCAGCACACAGATGTAATTGTCAATTAAAAATCCAATAGTAGAAGAGGTAGTAAAAGTATTAGAAGTAATCGGAGAGGTTAAGATTAGAAGATACTATTCAAGAAGTATGATTCAATGAGATGAGTTTAGAAAGTCAAAACTAGAGGTGTTGAAGAATCCAGAAGATTAGGATTTGAGAGAACACAAAGAATGAATGCATCGGCGCCATTGCGAACGATTTTGAGCCATGTCATTCAAGGTCTCTAACCATCGATTATTATCATCTCGCGCACCCCGACCAGGTAGTCGACACCTACCGACATGACTCAGTCCACTTGTCAATGACTTCATGGATTTGTGCCATGTTTTGGTTTGGCCTCCCCTAGCTTTCTTCCAACCTATTCCTACACTACAAAACAAAGCTCTTCGAGGCAGTCGGTGGTTAGGCATATGCAACACAAGTCTCAAGTAAGTGATTAGTGAATTTCATTTGGGCAACCAATTGATACCACTCAACTTCATACAAACTGTTTAGCTGTAAGATCAGTAAATAATTGTACACATGATAAATGTACTCATAGCGAATTTATACCCTTGTTGATAGATAGTGTCGTACACAAAAACTCAGGTGAGGAAATCAACATATATATATATTTAAACGAATATCTCAGAGTTGTTAAGCATATGTACAAAACCTTCCCGTGAAATCATCATTTGCAAACTAATCCTTATTTGTTTCAGATTTCAGTGTTCTTTCATTTAGACTATTCAGACTTCAGTTCACTTTACGTGACCTACAAATCGCCTTCTGTTCTCATTCTTTCCTTCTTGATCTTTTGCTGTCAGACGTTTGATTTCCATTTGATATAATATACTACTTATGTGAACATAAGTAGCTTACACCACAATAATACTGATAACTGATGAAATATAAGTGGAATGTAAAAGATTTAACGCCAGTTACTTTCAACAAATTGTTATGGCTTTACACCGGCCAATATACACCAGACCACCTTTGAGTGGATGATTTGTAACAAAGATGAGATACTTGCTACTCTATGCTTGAAGAATGGCCAAATAAAAACTTGCTCAACCGAAGAGGAAGAACAAAGACTAGCGATCACTGGTTCAAGATCCGTCATTATATTTCAAATATTCCTTCACATACACACAAAAACAGATCGAATCGCACTAATAAATTGAGATTGACAATAGTACATGAATGAACCAACGGTGACTGTGAGTAAGGGGAGACTGAGAATAACAAACTAGTGACAGATTTAGAATACTAAATCATACAACTATAGTTATAATAAGTTATTCAAGAACTCAAGATACAGAGATTTTAAATAAATATTAATCTAATTCGACAAAGTAATCATGAACCAATAATTATTTAACTGTTCCATCCTGGTATGGGACTCATCAGCAGTTCATTTCCACGATTCCTGCTACTCTCAGGATTCTAAACATCGTTATTGCTCATGAACGCCTATGTAGTGCCTCCACATATAATATTCTAGTTCCTTTATATCTAACTCGGTTAAGCCCTTTCGATTAATTTATTTAACCAAGCCATAATTTGTATTGCAACAATTTATATGTACCATCCGTTCTTATTATTATTGTCTGGTTTGTATGATGAGCTCTCATGACGTGTCCCACTTGTCATTTGACCTTGTCAATCATTCGTCGCTTTTATTCATGTATGTGCACGCCTATTTCGCTTGTCACATGTCTGTCTTATATTTGTCTGACTATATTTTTTTAGTAACGCTCTATCTCTTTGAATTGGCTCATTGGCCTTCTCCATATTGTTTCTCCGCTTCGCTTTGTGGTGTGTTCCAAATAAACGTATTCATCACTATGAGTTCACCTTCTGATTTATAAACCGTCAGACGCTATTTAGTAACGATTGTCTGAACGAGCTAATTACCGAGCACACTACACCTAACTTTTGGACCACTGGGCCAGTATCCAATATTATTAATATCTAACTCTGATCAATCTAGGGATTTTGCGCGCTGAGCAATATTAATAAACGCCAACGGTACTACATATAAGTCATTGCTATACGAATAAATCAGTTAATTAAGTTAATCAAAAGAGCTTAGACAAATTCAATATGAGCAAACTCAAATGTGTATGTGGAGCTACTACATGCTGTTCTGTCATCTACATAGACAAGGCTACGAAGAAATCTATGAACAAGTACTTAATAACTTGTGATAAACAACGTGACAGCCTAATGAAAAATGCACATTAGCTCAAGTTACCGAGCTAACATCATTGCAACTAGAAAAGCTTATCAAGATGAATATAAGCTGAAAATCTATTCTTTCATATGGGAGAGAACAAACGAGATTCCAGTGGAGGAGGAAATCCGGAATAAGCAATGGAAGTGTATAGGACACACACTGCGTAAAGCACCTAACTGCGTCACAAGACAAGCCCTCACATGGAACCCTCAAGGCAAAAGGAAAAGAAGAAGGTCAAGGAACACATTACACCGAGAAATAGAGAAAGATATGAGAGGAATGAACAAACATTGGACTGAACTAGAAAGGGAAGCCCAGGACAGAGTAGGTCGGAGAAAACTGGTGGGCGGCCTATGCTCCATTGTGGGTAACAGGCGTAAGTAAGTAAGCAAGAGAGTATTTTTGAATGAATCGACAAGAGTTTAGCTAATGATAACTAATGATAGTAGGAATGAATCGAAATCAAGAAAAAAGATTCAACTTACCGTCGGTGCAACTAAATCATCCAATTGTATATGATCTAAACAAGTGTCACTTGTTAAAAATGAACCATTTTCTAATTGAAGAGATAATGAAGAATGTGTCGGATTTAAATGACTATCTAAAGAAAAAAATAAAAATAAATTTCAACTGATTTAGCATTGAAAAATAATTGTTATCGACATTAATATAGTGTGGTGCTGTGGTGCGAGCTACTTATAAGTAGTATATGACGTGAGTGTCAACGTAATGTCTGGCAGCAGCAGAAGATGGGGGAAGATCAAGAAAGGAAGAGTTAGTTAGAACACAATGGAATTTGTATGAAACGCATGAATAGTGAAATGTCAGACAATGGATTGATGATGGATTGAAGATTTGCAAGTTAACCGTTTACGATATGGTTTTCCGATTTTACTGAGTAACTCTGTAATTTTCGTTAAATACAATTCGGTTGCCCTCACCTGTGTTCTCGTTCACTACAATAGTACTTTAAATATATGCTTGGTTAACCGACAAGCCAGCTGCACATGCACATCGCTGCTTTTAAGGCGGCAACACAAAGATTTTCACTGTCGCTAACAGTAATCACCCCTGCTCCGATCCGCAACATATATGTTGTCCAGTTTGATCTGCAAGCAGGTCGGACGTCCAAAAAAGCACGCACACGAACAATGGCCCCCGTTCGGGCATTTATGAATCAACAAGATCCGTCCAACCAATCCACTACCCGAAATCCCCAATCGGCATGAGCGGCATGGAGGGCTTACCAAGCTAGACCTGGCACCCTGAACGGAATACCGAGCCACTCAGTAGTGCACTAACCGTCTGGCCTCCAACTGCCTTGTGCTAATTCAATCGACCGGAATCCTCAGACCCACATAAAGCTAAAGATCGAGTTTGTCCCACAAGGTCAGTCGGAACGTACACACTCTCATGAGGAAGATGTCATGGACTCAACCAAGTGCAAGCACTCGGCCAAGCAGGGTTAATCCCACAGAAGTGGGCAGACATCATTGGCGTCCAGTACCCTTTAACACCGCATCCCATAACCCAACTGGAGACCCTTGTTTAAGGGGCCTCGACGCCAGTTTACACAATACACCGAGATGCAGAGTGTTCGGGATAACCACATAGGGTTGGCGTCAGTTGTCCAGGATGTCTACGGCTTCTTCCCCAAACAGAACGTCTAGGGCCGCCTTCAAGAAAGCTGGAAAGCTACATCCCTCTCAAGATATTCGCTACTACGGTTTGACAGAGGACAAGTCTTCAAACCATTATCAGAATTTACCTACGCTCAGAGGACGGGATTCAGACTTGAAAGCTTTTCAGTCCTAATCCCCCAAAGTGGCTAACCGCATCCACAGCCTTGCGACCATGAACAGGTACCATTATTCTGGACCATCCTAGGCACGGTATCCGAAGCGTTCGGAACGGCAGGACAGGACAGACAGAGTTGGTTGGAGGAAACTGGTGGGCGGCCTACGCTCTATTGTGGGTAACAGGCGTAAGTAAGTAAGTAAGTATGTAAGTAATACCGACCCTTGCATTGTATATCTTCAGTTGTAAAATAAATAGTCATAAATACTATAATATGCTTCAACTCAACTCGAGTGATAATATAAGTCTGAAGAAAAGAAAACCGCATCATGTTTGAAATTTATTTATCTATTCAAATTATATTTAGATGAGTAAGTTTGAATTTTTGATTGATAGATGTGAAGTGAAGTAGACAGACAGACAGACCAATACAACGCAGAACTGCGTACGTAAGTACATCAGTTCAGGTTGCCATGCCCCCCATCAGCACAGTGACGCAACTGTCAGTTCAAATCCAACAGTGATAGCAATAATAAAAGTATTAGCAGTAATGGAGAAGATTAGGGAGCAAAGATTTGATTCGAGAAGTATAATTCAGTAAGATAAATTTAGAAAGAGAAAGGTAGAGATTATGAGGAATGCAGAAGCTTAGAATTTCATAGAACACAAAGAGTGGATGCACCTGCGTCATTGCAAACGATTCTGAGTCATGTCGTTCAAGGTCTCTAACCATCGTTGACTATTGTCTCGCGGACCTCAACCAGGTAGCCTACATCTACCAACATGAATCAGTCCACTTGTCAGTGATTTCATGCATTTGTGCCATGTTTTGGTTTGACCGCCCCTAGCTTTCTTCCAACCTACTTCTATACTGCAAAACATAGCTCGTCGAGGCAGTCGATGGTTAGGCATGCGTCGTAACACATGTCCCAACCACCTCAACTGATGAAGTTTCCATACTTCATCTGTTGATTTGCCATCCCTACCTAGAACTCGTTTCCTAACGACAGCATTGCTTACTCGGTCGTCCCATGATACACGAGCAATGCTTCGGAGACATCGATGATCGAACACTAGTAACCTACGGAAGTCCTCTCCCATTAACGGCCAAGTCTCGCATCCGTACAGTAGGACGGAGTGAAGCAACAAATTATTAGTTAACTGATCGGTCATTCTATTTGAAAAGGGATCAATTAATAGTAGTTATCAAGTTAATTTTTGACAGACACATAATTATGGTTTTATGAAAAATATCAGTAAATTAGTAGTGATTCATGTTTTCCTTGTTCGCAACTGTTCTAACAGTCATGTACTGGACAACTAATAAAAATTCGAAATTTCTGAATATTTTTGATGTGTTCAAGGCTATAAGTGTTTTAGAACAAGGTTAGAAGCAAGCATCCAAACTCTTATTGTATCATTTTCCAGACTTATCATCCGGTCAAACCTGTATCGCAGTAATGATATCCTCTCATTAAGAATCGAATCTAATAACTTGATCGCCTAATGATACATCCGAGTTGGGATGAAATGCTCGTCTGGAATTTCACTTTTATGCAAACAATCATCATTAAAATACTGTTCAAATTACTTGAATTTCTAATTTACGGATTTAACAGTTTTGAATTTAAGAATCGATCAATATTAGACCACCATTAGAAGGTTGGAAGTACTGGACGGCCATTTCGTCCCGGTATGGGACGACCGATCAACAGTGCATATCCACGACCCCTATGTCACAAGACCGTGTATTGTTCGACGTTAGACGTTAACATTGTTAGATACCGGGTCATTGGTCCTGAGTTTAGGCGTTCGCACGTAAGACCGAAGGTCCTAGGTTTGAATCCTGTGAGGTGCAGGAGTCGTGGATACGCAGTGCTGATCAGCTCCATACCAGGCTGTCCAGTGCTTACAGGTTTCTAAATGCTGGTATAACATTGATCGATTCGTGGTTTCAAATGTGTGTAAACTCAACAATTTTCACAACCCCGTAAGTAAATTAATTGTTGATAAAATACATCATTGCCGATTTATCATACTGATCTAGGTCAGTGAATATGATTTCAGTTATAAACTGAGAATAGTTGATTTCAAAGAAGCTGTCCAAGAAATTTTTTTCAAATAACAGTCTAACAAATGTGATGGTTGTTTGAATCTTTCGATTGATGTTGTCTAAATGAAATCAATACCTTAGTAGATAATACTGTGGCATTCAAAGAGAACTGTCCTAGGTTCAAGTCAACGGGTAGACGTCTACTCTGAGATGCAGATTCGTACAGCTGAAGTCCAGCTACAGTCCCAAGTAGAACGAAACGAATCCCCTACATATTCCACTGTTACTGAATATCGACCGTTGCTAACAAGTCTCACTTTTTTATCGGTAATTAATTTTGTGCACAAAAAATCGTAATATCTTTCTCATCACGGGGGTTGTTGTGAAGACTCTTAAGTTTTATTTGAAACCATGCATCGATCAATGTTAGACCACCATTAGAAACCTGGAAGCACTGAGAGACGGCCGTTTCGTCCTAGGAATGGGACTCATCAGCAGTGAGCATCCACGACTCCTGCACCCCGCAGGATTCGAACACAGGACCTTCGGTATTGTGCGCGAATGCCTAACCATCGGAACACTGAGCCGGTATCTAACGGTGTTAATATCTAGCTTGATCAATTCACGGAGTTGCGCAACCTTATACACAGTCTTCGGTAGTTACTGTCTACACCCGAACAGGTTGAACTTCACTGGTCACGTCTTCCCGCTAGAACTTTGAGAAGATTTCTCACGAAGCTAGTCACTAATGAGCACAGATAATTTGCATTACGTGGTTGTTATGAAGACTGTTATGTTAAGGAGTCCCATATCAGGACGAAACAGCCGTCCAATGCTTCCAGGTTTCTAATGGTGATCTAACATTGATCGACTCATGGTTTCAAATATCTTTCTAACATTCACCTGAAATATGATTTGTCCACTCGGAAAAGGTTCTAATTTTGTAATTTATTCCTGAAATTTTGAATTCCTGTGTTTTCGCGCCAGAGACGCTCATTCTGACCCTCCGCTAACATATGGCACCTGTAAAATCCCTTACTGTTATTGGTTGACGAATCATTATAGCACGCTATTTTTGTGGCTCTCCCAAGGACGTTGCTATCATTGTATAAATAAGCCTGATTTGTGTGCTTAGCAACCTTGTATTTTCTGGGTGCTTGTAGAATGAATACATTCTCTTCGTCTTATCAAGACTTCATGCTTTTGTTAGCGGAGTCTGGGACAATCGCATTAGAATAGCCTTATCGTTTCATTGTATCATTGATCGTCATTCCGTTTACTGAGTAAGGTGAACTCATCATAGTTTCGAACATATCAGATTGTGTGCGTACACTGCTTACTTTGTTAATTATACAAACCTTGTCGCGGTTTTTGCATTAGTTTTTGGTCTTTTCTTCAGTTGGTGATAAGAGAAATCGACAAGGTATACAAGATTTGTACAAATTCCTTATTCAGTTTTTTATTTCAATTGTAGACTAAAATAAATGGAGAATCGTTGAATATCAGCTCATATTGAGTTAGAATAAATACTAAAACAAAGAAAATTATCCTCATCTAATCGAACTATAACAGTTTTGTTTTAAATTTATTAAAAATTTAACTTACAAAAAATAAACTGTAATCAACAAAAGCTGTCTATCAATACAAAAAAATGATGAACAAAGCTGAGAAATTTAGTTTTTTGGGGCACAGTTTTGGAGGTTTGCGCTTTTACACATTTGAAATCATCAATCAATCATTGTTAGACCACAACATTAGAAACCTGGAAGAAGCATTAGACGGCCGTTCCGTCCTGGTATGGGACTCATCAGCAGTGCGCATCCACGACTCCTGCTCCTCGCAGGATTCGAACCTGGGACCTTTGTCATTGTAGGCGAATGCCTTACCATCGGACCACTGGGCCGGCATCCAACAGTGTTAATGTCTAACTCTGATTGATCTAGGGATTTTGCGCGACTTCACCCATTTGTCTTTGATAGTTGCTGCCTACACCTGACAGGGTTGAACTCCATTGGTCACGTCTTCTCAACTAGAACTCCGAGAATTCCCTCAGGAAGCTAGTCACTAGTGAGCACTGTTACGATATTTTTGGGCACAGTTTTGAAGGTTTGCGTTTTTACACATTTGAAATCACCAATCATACCAGGAAGAAATAGCTGTCCAGTGCTTCTTCCAGGTTTCTAATGGTGGTCTAACAATGATTGATTGATGATTTCAAAAGTTTAGTTTTGTTCAATGTAGGAGTAAGCTAACAAGGACTGATTGATCAAAAATTAATACTCATATTAAATTAACGATTAATAAAGTAGATAAATAATAACAAAGTTTTTTTTTATAATTTTTTCGAAAAAAATAACTAATCTTCATCGGCATTGATTTTACACAGCCTATATATTTCATCCGCTTACTTTTCATTCCACTTTTAAAATACAATAATTTTTTTTATATGACTCTTCGAAAATTATAATCATGATAATTTTGCAGTGAAGTTGATATACAGTTATATCAGACTAAAGAAAATATTTTTGAAACCATGAATCGATCAATGTTAGAACACCATTAGAAACTTGGAAGCACTGCAAGACAGCCGTTTCGTCCTGATATGGGACTCCTCAGCAGTGCGCATCCACGACTCCCGTGGATTGGTTTAACATTTTCAATATAAATATTCATGTACATTAGAGAGTAAAGCCTGATGACAATCTAATCAAAAACAATATTGTACACTTATATGTATTTAACAATTGTTGCATTGTGGAATTTGAAATTCTCTATGAATATGGGACTTCTTAGTCTGTCCCCAGATAATGTCAACTTGTAATGAACATTTCGGATTCTTAACAAAATCAATTCATCCGTGTCAACTGATGACATCATTTAATAGTGGATTTAAAGGATCGTAGAGCGAAATTTTAAACCATTTGATTAGTACGGGTTTGATGGTGACTGGTTAATTGTTGAATCATCATAGACTTTCAATTCATTGCTTTGGAATTTGTCATCTGGATCTACAGGCGTTCCCGTGTTATGGTTTACAAAAAGACTCAAACTTCGTGTCTGTAGCTTGAAACATCAAGTCATGATCCACTGAGTCACGGAGTCAGAATAGTTATCAGCTTGTAGTGCCTCCACATATATTCCAGTTCGCTTACACCTAACTTGGTTAAGCCCTTTCGATTAATTTATTTGACCAAGCCATTCGCGTAGCGATAACTTATATGTACCCATTCGTTCTTATTATTGTCTGATTTGTATGAGCTCACATGACGTGTCCCAGTTGTCATTTGATCTTATCAATCATTCGTCGTTTTTAGTCATGTGTGCCTATTTCGCTTGTTGCATGTCTGTCTTATATTTGTCTGACTATATATACTCTTAAACCATCAGATGCTAATTAGTGACGATTGTCTAGACGAGCTAATAACCGAGCTATCCAAACACTCAGATAAATGGACCCCACATCTGGTAAGCGAGCTGGAATATATATTTGGAGGCACTACAAGCTCATGTGATGTGAAAAGTTTTATTTGTATAGGTTTGTATTTCTCTATGGTTGGTGTTATCTATACTCCAGTAGCTCAGTGGATAATACTTTGTTATTTGAAACAAAAGATTATGATTGAAATCATGAATCGATCATTGTTGTTAGACCACTAGTGGGAAACCTGAAAGCACTGAACAGCTTTTTTTCCTGGTGTATGACTCATCAGCAGCACCCGTTCACAATGATTGATTTATGGTTTCAAGGAATCTCAACAATCACTAAAACCCTATAATTTAAAATATACTTATTTTTAGTCTTGGTATGAATAAAAAAATTGAATAGCACGTTCATCTAGCTGGATAACTTTAAATTGAATAAAAGGGTAAGCTCATTAATTCACCAGCCTTTATTGAAAACTCTTATTACTTAATTTCATTCTGTGATTAATACTACTTAAACAACTGTAAACGTTCTGTAGGACACAACTGTAAACCAACAAGATAAACAGTAATACTATAGAAATCTGCCAATTGAAAATTTTGATCAAATCATTATTTCTCAACCTATAATTTTTGCTCATTGCCATTAGGTTGTTACCTGACCGTAGCTGCTACCTTGACGTGGGGGTAAGGCTTGCCTATCGTGATGACCCAACCGAGCTATATTGGCTGGAACATATGTTCCTGAAGGTTCTATCATGCCAGGCAGGTCGATTGGAGAACAATGAGACTAAAAGTAGCTACTCAAGGTCTGAGGGTGAAGTCGTACTGCTGACTGCAGAGGATTGTGTGACAGCAGTAAGGTGTTTCCCTCGGACAACCAGCATTTGCAGCGATGCTGCCTTCTCGCAACAAAAGGAAACGTCTAGAAAGGTCAACCCTAAAAATGTCACACCTCACCTTACCTAAGGGATTTCTGTCTCCGGCTGTAAGGGCTACCTAATAATAAAAATTATTTTGGATATTTATCACGAAATTCGCTGTTCCCACTCATTTAGCAACAAGTATTATATGAGTAGTTTTCTCGAACCGAAAAAAGACTTTACATAGTATCAGAATGATTCTTTTGTTAGATAGTTTAGAGGTATTGAACAGGAGAAACCTTGTTTGGAAGAATTGATTTTCACGAAGGGGTTCAACCTATTTTGTTGTCTCCAGTTTTTGTTGATTCTTCGCATGTCTTTCTCTATTTCTCGACGTAATGTGTTTCTCGGCCTTCCTCTTGTCCTTTGACATTGAGGCTGAGTGCTTGTCTTTTCGGTGCTTTCGCAGTGTGTCCTATCCACTCCCACCGCTTCTTCCTGATTTCCTCCTTCACTGGAATCTGGTTTGTTCTCTCCAAAGTAAGCTGTTGCTGATAGTGTCTGGCCAACGAATCCGAAGTATTTTGCGTAGACAACTGTTCATAAATACATGTATATCCTGGATGATGGCTTTAGTAGTTCTACAAGTTTCCGCTCCGTACAGTAGAACTGTCTTGACATTTGTACTGAAAATCCTGATTTTGGTGTTGATTGATATTTGTTTGGAGTTGCATATATTTTTCAACTGTAGAAACGCAGCCCTTGCTTTGCCGATCCGCGCCCTCACCTCTGCATCGGATCCACCTTTGTTGTCGATGATGTTGCCAAGATATGTAAAGGTATTAACATCCTCCAAAGAATCTCCATCAAGCGTGAGTTGGTTGGCGCATGTTGTATTTTATCGTAGAATCTTACTTTTCCCTTTATGTATTGGGGCACAGTTTTGGAGGTTTTGCGTTTTTACACATTTGAAATCATTAATCAATCATCATTGTTAGACCACCATTAGAAACCTGGAAGCACTGGACGGCCGTTTCGTCCTAGTATGGGACTCCTCCTCCCTTTATGTATGTTGAGACTCACTGCTGCAGAGGCTGATGCGACATTGGTCATTGCTAGATCTTCCACATATTTTCGTTTGTCAGGTCTGATGCTCTTCTTTACTTCCTCGTTTGCTTCTGTGTATGCAGCTTGTGCAGTAACTTTCTCTGCTCTTGTTCGGCTGACATTGATTGCTGCTTTCTTGTTCCTCCTTCCTTCAATTTTTGCAAGCGTATCAACAGAGATCCATTCCTTGTGATGGTACTTCTTGTGACCCAGAACTTCGTGACATGTTGAAGTGATTGCCTCCTTAATCCCTTTCCAATTGTTCTCCAATGTTGCGTCCTCTCAATCGAACCCTTATGCTGAGGGCCATCTCGAATTCGTTGAGTTTTACGGTATCCCGAAGAAAGGCTGCATTAAACTTGTGTGATATCGGCCGCGTTATCCAGTGCCTCTTTAGTTTCAGTTTCATTTTTGCGACCAGCAAGTGGCGATCTGAGGCTATGTCAGCTCCTCACTCGGTTCTCACATCCTCCATGGTCCTTCTGAATTTCCGAATGATGAAAATACGGTCGATTTGTTTCTGAATAGTGTGATGCGGTGAAATTCATGTAGCTTTGTGTATGCGCTTGTGCGGGAATATTGTGCCACCGATGACCAGCTTGTTGAAGGCACATAGGTTTGCAAATCTCTCACCTTTTTCGTTCCTTTCTCCCAGTCCATGTCGTCCCATGATGTCTTCATATCCAGTGTTGTCCATTTCAACATTGGCATTTAGGTCTCCCATTAGAATGGTTAAATCATTCGGTGAGCAGCTGTCGATGATTGACGGCAGCCTTTGGTATAATTGATCTTTAACGTCGTCATTGTTGTCTTCGGTAGGTGCATAACATTGGATGACGTTCATTGTAATGTCCTCTTTCTTTGTTTTGAAGGATGCTTTAATGATCCTCGGCCCATGAGATTCCCATCCTATCAGTGCCTTTTGTGCATGTTTGGACAGCATCAGTGCAACTCCTTGTGTATGTGAAGCGTTTTCCTCTTCAT